TGCAGGATTTGCAAACGTTGTGCCAGAGTCAGTCTGTTCATCATGAAATGGCAAGCCAAACTCTGTCTAAATTATGTAATAGTTGCAGTTGAGAGATCCATCCCCACACGGCCGGGTGGGATAGATACTGATAGCTGAAGAGAGAAGCCATACTCATTTTCAGACAAATCAAAAATGAGGCCAAAATGCGTGGGCATGAAGAGCTTAGGAAGTTGGCCGACAGGTTTAATACTGGAAATTTTCGCCCCGACGATTCACAGAAGTCTTCAATGTTGGAGCAATGAGGTTTCAAGGAGGTAATCTGTAGACCTAAGTCCAGAGCATATTTGCTCTATCGAGGAAAGAGGGCGAAAACGTTTCAGCAATCGACGATGATTGAACAGATGTTTCAATGCCAGACAATGAAGATGTTCGAATAACAATCGTGGACTTGATAACCAAGTCAGCGGCGGGACGCGACGGATTACTGGGACTAACTATTCAAGTACGGCGGCGAACAACTAACAAGCAGCATGCACCAGCTTTCTTTCTAGAATCTGGTCGATGATTGGAACCAAAATGTTTTCTGTCCAATCCATAAGACCACACGGTCTACGCCACTTACCGTCTCATTAGCCTTCTCAATATCGCGTGTATGATCGTGACGAGCGTCTTGTGTGTGAGACTAAATCTCACCCTCAACAAAGTGAGGGGCAAGTGGTCCAAGTCTTGTAAAAGACCCGTGAGACGAGAATAGTTATACATCACCTTTTAAAGTTACCTCTACGTCGTCGCTATGCCTGAACTGGGTATCCTCACAAAACTTATACGGCTGTGCAAACTGACGCTGGCGAACACCAGGAGTCAAAGCATTATTGGAAATGACGTCTCCGAGCTGTTTGATACCAAACGAGATTTCAGATAGGGTGATGGTGATTCCTTACCGTGTGACTTCTGCGATTTATTGCTGGAGATAATAATAAGAGCTGCCGAGCTTTATAGAGAAGGTACAATCATCTATAATGAATACAGCTCCTGGTGTATGCATATGATATTGACATTATTGGCCTCACAAACCGCCCCACAAGCTCTGCTTTCTACGAGCTGGTAAGGGAGCGCAGCTTACGGGTCTTATAGTCTTACTCTTACGAGAAATTTAAGTCCTCTCTCGACTAACTAAAAGTAAACTCTACAAGTTACTCCTCATTGCCGTCATTGCTTTATGATGCAGAGGCGTGGACGATGTCGACATCTGATGAGTGAGGTTTAAGAATTTTAGAGAATACGGTTTTCGAACGATTTTTGTTCCTTTGCGCATTGGCTATGAGGAATACCGCAGCCGATGCAAAAATCAGCTGCACGAGTTATACGGTGACTCTGCCAATAGTTCTACGATTAAAGTGACGGTGTCGAGCCGTCCGAATAAATATACTTATTCGGAGCTTTGAAAGTATGAAATGGAGTAACTGCCGCTGGAAGCAAAGGAAGAGGAAGACCTCCACTCTGTAGAAAGAATCAGGTGAGGAGCGCACTGGTTTCAATCCATATTTCCCGCTGACGACAAACAGCGAAGTGCAGTAAGGATCAACGCGCTCTTGTTGTTGCGATACTTACTTCAATGGAGAAGAAGATGAGCAAATAGAAATATGACTTCACATGTCGGAAGGGCGTTATAATACAGTTTCAGCTAAATAAATGAAAGATTTAATAATTAAAATTAAAAAGGATCGAGAGAGTCCTTGATTGTGTGCTGATTTTATTGAACAAATATATGCTGCTGGGAGTACACTTCTGCGCTGTGGGCAGCCAAGACTAAATTAAAGTGGCCAACTTGCGCCCCAACCTGCGCATTTCAATTGCCAAATGTATATATGAGTGCATATATATATACATATATATGTATATGTATATATGCACATAATGAAGAGGAAGAGCCAACAAATCAAAGTACGCAGTCTGTTGCTTTGTATGATTGCAAGCTCCACACACAGTTGCTTCAACACAGAAAGTCTCCGGCCACACCAAAGTCAATTCAAGAGGAGTGAGTCCAGGAAATCCCCCACCGTGTAGAGTAATTCAAGAGTTCGAATTTTCAATGCAAATAATATGTACGACACATATATGCATACATATATATGTATGTAATAAATATTTGGCTCATATTTCAGAGTATTTTCTATGCTGAATTTGTTGCCAAAAACGGCTGCCTACAGAACATTTCCTTTCCGTTCCAGATAAATCACATTTTATTAAGTATAAATAATAAATAAAAATTGCATAGACAAATTCGAAAAAGGGTCGAAAAAAAAATACAAATAAATAAATAAATGAATGAAGCCAGTGGTCGAAGGATATGAATGGCGGAAATCGAAATATATGTATGTATGTGTGTGTGTATATATGTTTTGTATGTATCAGTTTTTCGCTTTTAATTTATTTTATTTCATTTTATTGAGCTGCACTTTGGCTCGGGCCACAGTTGAATACACACACACACACGCACACAAACACGCACACTCAGGCAGACATAAAGCGGAAAACTCAGAAAGCAACATTGCGTAAATGAGATCAAGAACCGTTATCCGTTATATGGACACTGGCTAGTTCAAGCTGTTTCCACTTTATTTATGTACTTTTATTTGATTTCTTTTATTTTCTTATTTTTTTCTGCTTTTTGGGGGGTTTAGCAGCGACTTACAACCACCAAGAGCGAACGCTTTTCATTGAGTATATGCTATAGATACAGTAAAACTTGCCTTAATGGGCACTTTTTCAAGTCCTTTCAACTTTATCACATACAAATTTACCTCACATAAACGGGCACCTCTATTGACCAGGCGAAAGATTTGGTCCTGTTGGTGCCTTCTTATGGGTGGCTTCACTGTACTCATGCACACGCGTATATATGTACGTACATATGTATGTACATGTGTGTGTAACAAATTATAGTTTATATGCTCCAAACATATATTGTATGTATGTGTATGTATGTATGTATGTATGTATGTATGCATTGGCTGCAGAACGCAGTCGCCAACTCACGCAACGCAATTTACGCATCGAACGCCGCTGCGCTGCTCGCCTCTTCAAGCGCTGCTTGTTTGCTTGCTTGCTGCTTGCTTGCTGCTTGCTTGCTGCTTGCTTGCTGCTTGCTTGCTCTGTAGTTGTGGCTGGCTGCAGCATGTGGGCAAAGGATATTTGTATACATACATACATACATACAAACATACTTTGACTGCACTAGTCACTAGATTCAGCGGATTTTTACGCATATAAATCATTCATTACTTCAACACACACACACACACACACACACACGTGCACACATACAAAAGAAATCGCCACATATACTTCCGCCTGAGAAGCACACTGGTGACTGCTCTGCTGTCTTGTCATTGGAGATTATGAATTTTAGCTATGACAAATATTTGGGTCAATAACTTGGCTGCGTTATGGTAGTGGCAAAGGCGAAAGGCGAAAGGCGAAAACAACAACAAAATATTAAGCGCATTAAATATCCTCAAGCATGAGTAGTTTGGCAATAAGTCCTGTCGCGCTGTATGCATGTAAGTACGTGTATGTACGTGTATGTATATGTGTATGTATGTCTTATTCATTTTTGGTGCATAAATTATAATCAACTGCGCTACGGAGGGGGGGTTAGGCGAGTGTTTTATGGCACAATATTATTATTATTTAAGTGTACTTACAAACATACACTGTATACGTACATATACATATATAACATTGTAAAATTATAGATAGTGGTTTAACTTTATATTCAGTTCCATTTGCAATTCCGTTTTCATTTTTTTTTTCATTAAACATAAATACTCCATTGCCGTTTGGTGTTTTTGCTGCCATAAAGAGCCTTGGACCTTCTTTAGACTGCAGTTTACAAAGTGAGTTGCAGCGAAGAAACAATAGGAGCGGCTTGAGAACTCACAGAGAAAATACCCGAGCTTCCAGCGAGTACTTTAGGTCTTTGATAGATCGCAAAATGGGTACATAAGTAGTCAGAGGTACAAAAGAGGCGACACCACCACAGTCGGGTTTTTCTCTCAGATATTATATACATATATAATACATTCTCCTAGACCAATATCGAAGTCAAAGCAGAGTAACCGGAATTTATAGAAAAAAATCAAACTCGTGGTCGAGATCCGATTATATATGACCGCTGTACGCCACATTGAGGAAACCTCAAAAGAAATTCAAAAAAAAAAAAAATTGGAATAAATCATGCAGAAAGCGCGCCTGCAGAGCAATAAGAAAACAATTATCTGCATTAGTTGTGCTGAGGACATGGACCTACTAATATTTTCGAGGTAATCGGTGGTCGTCTCCCTCAGGAGACAAACACTGGGCTGCTCGAGCGCGTTATGGGTTCAAGAATTTACCCGCGGTAAGGCATGCTTGCCGCAAGAGGCGACTAAAGTCCAATAGTTCCCGCGACAGTCGCGCTTTTATACCGGAACGACGCGGATTTTTATCCGGCCAAGGACTGTCACTCCCGCAACATGCCCCAAAAAGTGCTTTGAGGAATATTTTTGCGGTTACAATAACAACAACAACAGCAACAACACTGGGCTTTTGCAAACCATCTGCAGCCGCAACACTTTTTTTTTTTGTAAATACTAACTACCCGCCGTCAGCGACCATCAATTAATCGTTTCTAAATCCCCAACGCATCGACAGCGCGATTCCCGCATGGCTCGTCTTTGAATTTGAATTTTAGTTTTTCTCAATTTAAATAATTTTACAAATAACCGCTTTTTAAATAATCTTGCGAACATGTTAAAAGGTCTAAACGACATTAACCCGATTACTTTATTAAAAACCAAGGTTGAACATCTCAGAACAGACAGGTCTATTACTGCAATTTAGTTTTGAGTGAAAATGGTTGGAAAATGCTTCAATTTGATTTTGGATATTTTTTTTCATTTATTTTCATGAACGAGATTAAGATCTGGTGTATGTTCGTAACGTTTAGGTGAGTATATATGTGGTGAAAAACTCACCTTACAGGCACATTTAAAACACTTGGAATTCCATTTAATCAACTCTTGAATTGCAACCTCTTCACCCTCATTGGAACACGATTGGAAAGTGCCTGGAAAGAGAGAGAAAAAGTGTTATTGTTTTTTTTTTTGAAATTTAACTATTGTAAATATGAAACAATGAAAATATGAAATTATAATAATTACTGTTAAATTACTTCCCTCAAGATCGATCCAAACGTTGGCAATGCTGGTCGCAGTTCTTGAAAGCAGTGCTTAACGGTAAGAAAAATCAGTGCGAGAAAGAGGTTGTAGGCCCCAAAGAGGTGATCAAACAACCATTTCCCAGAATATACTGAATTTATGGAAAGAATACTTCTCCGGCCTACTGAATGGCTCATCAGTAGTTGGCAAGTTCGATTCCCTAATCGATGACGAAGTCACATACCTTTTCATTCACTTGGATAGACAATCAACTTGGAAGCGACACACTTCTGTCTAAAAGATGCCACTGAATCTCAAATTTTCCAGTTTGCATTGGCTTTCAAGCAAGAAATCTGGGCTCAGTCTTGAAAACAAAGTCCTTACTTATAAGGCGACTATAAAACCGATATAGATATATGGAATTCCGTTATGGGGTACAGCTGGCACGGCAATTTACGAGTACATGCAGAGGTAGCAGATCAAGAGCAACAACACCAGACCAATATGCCATAGTGGCCACCATTCTGGACATTGCGTATCCACCGAAGGATGAAGTGAAAGCATTTTGGGAGGATGTTGAATATGATCTAAAAGCACTTAGTGCATTCAGAGAAGGTCAGGCAAGGAGGGCGCTGCTTCCTTGCTGAGAGAGAGCAAATAGCTCTGCAAAAACAGTTTTATAAAGAAAGCAGAAGACATAATGAAGCTGTGTCCCCGAAAAAGGAAGAAAGCGTCTCACGGCATGAATCGCTCTTTGGAGAGCATGGCGTATACTGCAAGTACAAGAGCATAACACACACAACAAAATAAAGGAGGAATTGTTTAGGGAGAAAATTGAGATTAAGCTGCAGATGCTGAGGTTGGACCCAAATTGCCAGCCTCAAGGTATTTAATTTTTTTTCTTAATTTTTTTTGCTTATTAATTTTTATTTTTTTGTTTTCGACTATCTAAAATCAATACTGAATTTTATTATATATAAGAATTTTTTATATGTGAAGGCCATGAAAAGTAATAAAATGTTTTAATGAAATGGAAAATCTAATTTTTTTGCTTTAATTTTTTTTTAATTTATGCTAAATAAATTTGTAAACAAACAACTTTGTAGTGCTTCAAATTCACAAATTCACATGCAAACAGCGGATTTCGAAAATATTTTCTCTCTTCCTCTTCTTCTTTCGTTTTGATCGGAATTCAGAATACCTAACCACGGCTGCAGCGAAGTGGAGAACGGGAACGTAATCGAAGTGCAGAATAGAATAGAGCTGAATATGATCAAAGCGATGTCCATCCACAAATGATTTCCAAAGTACGCACTGACGGAAAACATGGTGATGCTGAGCGTATACAGAAATTTGAAGAAAATTGTGCGTTATAAGCTGCCACAGCCAGGGGAAACGATCTATTCTCAGTTCAACTGTGAGCTTATAACAAGCTCTCAAAAAGAAAAAACCTTCAGACAACGCCAGACCACACACATCTTTTATGACCAGGCAAACATTGACGGAGCTTAGTTGGGAAGTTTTGAAGCACCCACCATATGGTCAGGGCGTTGCACCATCTGACTACCATTTGTTACCGTCTTTGCATAACTCTCTTGTTGGTAGAATATTTGCCTACCGAAGAGCTGCTGAAAATCACTCAGCCAGGCTCTTCGCTGATGTACCAAAGCAGCTCTAAACTGATGGAATTATTAAGTTGAAGCTGAAAGATGGCAAAGGGTCCTAGAGAATTTTAGTTGAAAAATTTTGTTCAAATACGAGGGGATTAACAAGAGTTCGGCCAGCTGGTGACTTTCAATTTGTTTTTGCTAAATGAAAAAATACCAAATCTGGTACAATTACTTTTTTAGTTTCCTTTCAAATTTTAGAACGTTCGGCTAAAATGGAGACGAGAAAACGCAAGATAGCTGAGGATAGCTCAGACGAAATTCCACCTCCAACGCAAACAGAAATTCGCCATGTGATTCTCTTTGGGTTTCGGCGTTATTTACAACCAATGCAAATACTCAATGAATGCCAAGTTTAATATGGAACGCTTGCACGGTCTCTAAAGACTATTTCTAAGTGGTTTTGAAGACTTCAGACCGGACATTTTTCTGTAGAGGACGAGCGCCGAGCAGGTCGACCAATATCGTCCACTCTCGACGTCACTGTAGCTCTGATGAAGTCCAAATAGACAAAAATTGATTGCTAATGAATTGGGCTTTAATGCCATGGCCATTTCGTGAATATTAAGTAATCATCTGGGATACAGAAAGAAATCTTCTCGATGCATACCACGAATAATAAACCAATTTGAAAAATGTCAGTCTATCAACTTTAGTAAGATTCTTACTGCTAACAAATCTTGGTTCTATAAGCATGACCCAGAAACCAAACAGCAATCCATGGTATGTAGACCAACAGGAGCAAACCTAACCCGTAGAATCGAAGCAAGAAAAAACAGCAGCAAAATTAATGATGTCAGTTTACTTCACCCGATCAAAAATCGTAGTTGCTACTCCACTGGAAAAGCATCAGATGGTAGCTGCAAAATGATACACCGAAGAGTGTTAGCAACAGTTTTCAAAACTTTGCTGGAAAAGAGATAGAAAGAGGACTTGCGGCGCTACTTTTACATCACCACAACGCGCCATCCCACACTGCTGAAGTACCGAGTCAATTCATGGCGATCTCTGGGATCGAAGACATACGTCGTGCACCATATTCCCCGGATATAGCACCTCTTGATTTTTGGTTATTTCCAAAAATTAAAAGTAAGTAAAAAGAACAGTCTTTGAGAGCAACGAGGAGATAATAAATGCGGTTAATGTTGAGCTTAAAAAACAAGATTTGACTGAAGAAGACTGTTTTCAGAAGTGGATCTACAGGCTTAAGAAGTGCATTGAAATCAATAGGGGTTATGTAGAGGAGATAAGCAAGGACAAGGATAACGAATAAATACAAAACTCATTTATTTTTCAGTGTAGTTTGTTTGTTAATCCATTCGCGGAGACTCAATGAATTTTAACCTTTTATTGACTGTCAATAGGTTTGTACGTGTATATATGATATTAAATGAAACTTGAGGCTCTTGATAATTTGTTAGCGAAAAGAAAAATATTTGACTTTAATAAAAATCTGTCTTCGCTCACCAATTCACTTGCATTTCAGTTGTCAATAAATTTTAGAAGCCCGACCGTCTCAAACATAAAAACTAAAATTAATGGGAAAATCACTCATTGCGGGAATAATAGAATGCCAGGCTGAATTTCTCTTTCACAGATTTTCACTCATGGAAAGGCGCTTCAAAAGACACACACACATATGCATACGTACATATGTAGATACATACGAGTATACACATTTAAAACACAAAGCCAATCAGCCATATTATTTATGAGGTACCAAGAACAACAACTTCTAATGGTTATTACCAAAATACCTGTCTCTACAAATGTATATACATACGTATATATGTTTGTACAAGCAAAGTGATCGGACAAATCTTTCGTCACAAATGCCAAGCGCCACGACGCAGCGGGTGTTGGTGGAAAGGTAAAAGAATTTATGAGCGGCACAGCGTCCTCCGTTGCTTATCAGCGCCACTTAAGTGGAAGGCGACAGGCAGAGAAGCGGAAATGCTCAAATATCATGTATTTGTGCGTGCATGTGTGTGTGTGGGTGTATGTGTGCAGAACAAAGAAATTCCAGTGAGATCCTCCTTTAACAGCAGCCAAAAATAAGAGCCAAGGAAAAACAATTAGGCACAGCGAAAGTACCTTGTAGTTTGTTATATGAGCTCATTAATGAGAATTGTTGTCCAATGTATGTATATATCAGTATGTACGAGTATATGATGTACATATGTATGTAAACATTTCTTTGTTAGTTTGTTTGGCTGCAGGTTCTACATACTCGTACTCGTATGTTGATTGTTCTTTTAAGTGCTGTAAATGCGATTATTTAGATGCATAATGCTGTTGTTGTTGTTGTTTGTTGTTGTTGTTTGTTGTTGTTATTGACTGCTACCATTGTTGTTATTTGCATTGTTATTGTTGTTGTTGTTGTTCGTGGCGCTAACATATTTAGTTTCTTAAGTGAAACATGCAAACATCTTGACTCACCGCTTGAGCTCACCGGCGCTTAACCGCTTCCCTTTCCAACGGTCATTCCTCAAATCCAACCAACCAAAGCAAACCAAAAACGAACCAAAGACTTCGCATACAAATGAATAAAACTAAGTAAATAAAATAAATAAATAAACAAAAAAAACAAAATAAGGACAATGAAAGAAAAGGAGTGAATGACAAGAAATAAGTCCAAGTTGGTGTGTGGGTAAAGCAAGAAGCTGCCGCAGAAAAGGTAATAATAAAAGATCAGAGCACCGCTGAAGCTAGAGAGCATACAGCAGACCACACCAGACCACCTGCATAGCAGTTGTGGAGGTGCGGTGTAGCAACCTGCGCCATCCAACGCCAACCGTACGCCCGCTTTCTGCTAGCTGCTTGGCTGAGTGACTGCTGATGCTCTTGATTGCCAAGGGTAGACATGGCAGGGCTTTGTGTGAAGGCAGGCACAGTTGAGAGCAAAGCAATTGAAGTAATGATTGAGAAGATAATTGAAAGATTTGAGTAGGAATGGACAAAACCAGTTAAGTAGATCCAGAAGGTTTCCAATATTCGCGGTGCTTCGAGAGCTGAAATTTCGCACTAAACAAACGTCGATTCAGAAAAACCTGTTTGCAATGCTTAGAAGGATACTCTGAATATACAATATAAGTTATATGGAGTAAGCATTTGATGGGTTCGTTTTGTCGAGAATGTCGGATTCTCATGTATTCTAGGGCAAAATAAGGGGTCAGGCACAAACAAAAGTGAAATCTGGTCCCGTCATGACCATTTACTTGGAAAAGATGTGATACACATTA